ATCCTGATGTGTCGAGGTGCGTGGATATACGCCTGAGCACCTCCGTCTCCGTCTCCGTCTCCGTCTCCGCGCCACGACTATCATGTCGGGATAGGGACACAGAGCCTGCCTCCGCCGAACACAGCAAACAAGCACGGAAGGCAACGAATGCAAGGAAGGAACCCAAAACGCACCCGCGATAATAGCGCTCCCCACGCCGCTCCCGTCCTCCGCATGGTGCGTAACGATGTTCCTGCCGCCCAATTTCATGAGCTAGCCGCCATCAAACAAAGCAAAGAGGGCACGCACCGCCCCTTGTCCCCAAACACATCCACCAGGCCCTCATGCACCCGGTCCGCGAAGCCGGGGTATTTCTGCGCGCGCGTCAGCTCGTCCAGTAGATGAGAAGTGGGAAGCGGGAGGAGGAGGAAGAAGGGCGAAGGAAGACGAAACGCACGTTATACAACGACCCATCCGCGCCGACCGCGCACCCCTCCTCCAAATACCCCATCTTCCCCACAATCGCCGCAATCCCACACGCGCTCAGCCTCGCCGCGCGCCGCCCAATCAGCCGCGCCAGCGCGCGGAAGAACTGGCGCTCCGCGAGCGTCGTCTCGACCGCGAAGAAGTGGGAGAAGATGCCGACGACCATGAGCAGCTCGTCCGTGGGGTCGCTCTCCATGAGCGAGAGGAACGCCGTGTCGAAGGCGTACGGCGCCTCGAGCTTGTACGTGTTCTGCCCGAGGAAGAGCACGCCCTCGTCAATGAGCTCGCAGATGACGAGGCGCAGGATCTCGCCGAGGTAGCGGCCCGAGATGAGTTTCTGTTTTCGGGGGAGGGTCAGCAGGGGCGGGGCGGGCGCAGGGCACGGCAAAGCGTACCTCGAACGCCTGCTCCCCCGGCTTGTTGGACGTATCGTCCACGATCGCATCGTACTTCGTCCGCGGCAGGTGCTCATGCTCGAACGAGTCGAATGCGCCCTGCCCACTTTCCTTCAGCACGCGTTCTTTCCTTTGCTTAGTAGTAGATGGAGGCGCACCCATTCGCAATTGATCCCCATCTCCGCGTCGTCCTCGATCCCCAGGTTCTTGATCTTCGGGATGTCGCCCACGCGCTCCATGTACGCCGCGTTGCACCCCGTCCCGAAGATGACCGCGATCTTCGTCGCGGGGTTGACGTAGTGCGACGCGATGAGCGTGCCCGTCGTGTCGTTGATGAGCGCGGTCAGCTCGATCGGGAGGTCCTGCGTGCCAATGGGCAGTTAGAATCAGAGCTGCAAGGAGGACGAAGGGGGAAGGGGGAAGGAGGACGAAGCGACGAGGACGGAAGAAGGGGTAAGAAGGAAAGAAGGAGGAACGGCAGAGGCAGGGAAGGCGCACAGCAGCGGCTGAAGGACGAAAGGGGACAACAAAACAATAATGAAAGGAAGGAGGCGCATCCGAACGAAAGCGAAAGAGGAAGCCGGAATGAAGGACAGCAGCGGTGGGAGGAGGAAGGAGCAGCGGTGGAAGGAGGAAAGAGGAAAGGAAGCAAGAAACCGCAACACTCACAAACTTCTCCAGCGACTTGCGGAACATCGCCGCCACGTCCTGCCCCTCCGTATTCGGCGCCCCAAAGCCCTTCGTCCACCGAATCAGCTCCCCGTGGTCGATCCGCTCCTGTCTGCCCATCCATATATAAACGCGCATCCACATCCTATGCAGAAGGCACTCACGAGCACGGGTACGAGAACTACGTTGCCCCACCCCCGCCCATGTCAGCTCTCCTCGTCGTGTATATGTAGTAAAGGCGACGACGCACCGTGAACCCCAACGGCAGCTTCTCCCCCTCCTTAATCTTGAGCCCGCTCGTCTCGTCCGCAAGGCTCGTGTCGACGAACGTCTTGAGGCACTCGGCGCAGAAGTCGAACAGCCGCTGCCCGTCCTCCTGCTTCTGCTCCTCCGTGAGGCGGTACTTGGTCTGCGTGATCTCGAACTTGCCCGCGCCCTGCAGCGTCACGAGGCAGACGCGCAGGTTCGTGCCGCCTGGGGCGAGATGCATTAGTATATCCGTGGTATGGTAGGATAAGAGGACGTAAGAGAGGGAAGGAGGGGGGGAGGAGGAGGCGAAGGCGACATGGGGGTGAGAAGAAGGAGGAAGGAACAGAAGGACAAGGAGCCAAGGAGCGGCAGGAAGCAAGTATGAGGAGAAGCGCGCACCGAGATCAACAGCAAGGATATCGCCGGTCTCTTCCCCCGTAGGCCAGCCGAATACGTATGTCGGGATCATGGGCTAATTATGCGTCAGCGGCTGGTGGGGAACAGAAACGCAGACGATAGGAAAGTAGAAAATGGGAAAGGGCAATCGTGCAGTGGATAGCGGACGCGCGCTGTGCAGATTGCCCGCACCGACAGTCAAGCAGCCCGGCGCGTCCAGCCCGACGCGTCGATCCCCACGTGTCCGCTTCCCCCGCGTACACCGACGTCCGCCTCGAGCCCGGGGCGCCACTCCCCGCGACACGCCCCACCCCCACTCCCCCATCGACGAAGCCAGTGGCTGGACGGTGGGAACAGAGGGAATAAGGAATGCTGCCCGGTACGCATTCCCCGTGGCGTCAGCGCCACCGACGGTCAAGTAGACGCCCAGCCCGGCGCGTCCAGCCCACGCGACCCCGACGCGCCCCGCTTCCCCGCGTACGCCGCCTCGAGACCAGGGCGCCATTCCCCGCGCTGCGCCCCTCGACACCCGTGGAGGCGACCGACAAAGTCCGTGCGGACCATCTACGCGCCACGCCGCCGGACGGTGGGAACAGAGGGAATAAGGAATGCTGCCCGGTAACGCATTCCCCGCGGCGTCACGAGCGACAGCCACGTAGCCCGACGTCGACCCCAATGCGACCCTGAGGCAACACCGCGTACATCGACTTGAGCCCGGGGCGCCATTCCCGGCGCCACGCCCCACACTCCACCATCGACAAAGCCCGCGCAATGTGTCCGCCTCCAAGCCGCTGCGGGTGCGCGAGGCGGGGGAACAAATACGTAGGGGACGAATAAAGCAGGCCCGTAGAGAGAGAAATGCTGCGCCTGGTCCACGTCCGGGAAGGCGCTCGCCAGCTATACGCGTCCGCAGAGGAGATCCGCGCGAGGCAGCGGAACGTAGAGCGCGAATAATGCCGCTGAATACACTACTCAGCCCGAGCACGATGAGGCTAGAGCCGCACATCGCCAGCAAAGCGCCCGACATGGGGGAACGCGCGCGCGGCGCATCTGATGCAAGCACACTGCAGCACATCCCGCGTGCGCCGGGCGTCGGCGTCGCGATCGACGGCGACAGAACGCACAAGAGACCTCGCAAGCTCCGGCTGCGCACGCGAGAGGCGGCGGGTAGCAGACAAGACGACGCGGAGGAACGGGAAAAACGACGGAGGGAACGAATAACGCCCGCCCGGATTCAGGAACCCGAGGCCGGGGCCGCATACGCGACGCAGACGTCAAAAGGACGCGAGCCTGTCACGGATCGCGCTATACGATCGAGGCGATCGACAGAACGCTATACGCTGCCACGCGTCGCAGACAGACAAGATCCTGCCGCACGCGCGCTCTTCGGGTCCTGAATTCACCGCGTTCGTCGGGGAAGGCCGCACGAGCACGACAGGGGGGAACGAAATTCCGATGGCACGCAATATCCGTGAAGGGCTGCATGGTCCAGCGGGGCGCGTGGAATTTCGCGGGCGCATGCCACCCTCGCAATGGACCCAAAGCCACGGCCCTTGGGTGCGCAGGAAGCCAAAGACAGAAAGGCCAGAGAAACGAAAATCACAGAGAAAGTGGAATATTAGAATTGGAAGGGATACACACCACGATCTGTTTTGGCTTCGTGAGCCCGAGCTCGAGCGTCTCCTTGAACGCCTCGACGATCATGCGCATGCGCTGCGGCGTCAGCGTAAATCTGCTCGCCCGACGTCATAGTCAGCGCCGATCACCCGCGCAGAAACGAGCCCGCACGCACAGACTCTCGAATTTCCGGAGGTGGTCTGCCATCGTCCTGCGGTACCATGCCATTACTTAGATACTAGAGAGGCGAGAGCGTGCACGCACTTCTTGGTCGCATGGGGGAGGTCCTCCTCCTCGTTGGTTCTGGTGTGCATGGCCATCGTCACGCCCGAGGGCAGGACGATGCTGCCGCTTCCGCGGCGAGAGGCAGGCATGCTGGCGGCGGGTCGTGCGAGGGGAGTTGAAGGGAGACTTGAGGGAGCGCGAGAGTCACCGAGTGGGGTAAGTGTCACGCCGTGACTCTACTTTTCTGCGCGATGATTGGGCTCAAGGGCACCCTGAACGTACGCGCCCCCTGCCCCTCCCCCGCACCCGCGCGGTGACCGACCCCCCGCAGATAATCGACAACTCGGGCGCGCTCGTCGCCGAGTGCGTCAACGTCCTCAAGCAGAAGGTCAACAACGGCTGGGGCTCCGTCGGCGACGAGATCGTCGTCGTCGTCCAGCGCGCGCGCCCCATCTCCAGCGCCGCGTCCGCGTCCGTCACCGCCGTCAAGGTCCGCCGCGGCGACGTGCGCCGCGCAGTCATCGTGCGCACGCGCAAGGCCGTGCGCCGCCCGGACGGCCGCATGGTGCGCTTCGATGACAACGCCGCCGTGCTCCTCAACAACAAGCGCGAGATGCTCGGCACACGCATCGGCGGCGTCGTCAGCGCCGACCTGCGCATGAAGGGCTGGGGCAAGATCGCGAGCTTGGCGCCAAAGGTCCGTCGTGCGAGGCCAGGTGCAGAGCGGTTATTGACGTGGCTTCGCGTTAGGTCATATAGCTTATTTTGCGCGTTTCTTCTGGCTAGATTTCCTCCTGGGAATGGCGATACGCGCCGGATTGATAGAGGGCGGAGTTCGCGACACACTGAGGTGTCTTGCGATGCGAGTTTAAGACTGATCGTCGGCGCGTCCTACAATGAACCTCTTAAAAAATCTGCATCGCGATCACTTCACCCCTCCTTGAAATATCCAACGCTTTGCCGACCACAAAACAGGGTAATTCAAGCAGTGTGGTGTATCGTGCACACGGGGCTTGTATGATGCGTCCATGCATGCCACCCCGAGGTCCTTGTTCGAACCAAGGTGCTGCTCTAACGATTCATGATTATTTTTTTTGCCCCTCAGTTCACACAATTCTCTTACCCTTCATCGGCCTCGAAACGAGGTAATTCAAGCAGTGGTGTATCGTGCACACGGGGTTTGTATTCCATATCATTAGACCAAGTATCGCCCCGAGGTTCGACTCAAGGTACTGCTCTGCCGCCAGTGGTTCTTTTTTGCCCCTCAGTTCACACAATTCTCCCGCCTTTAATTGGGCTCGGAACAAGGGAAAGGAAGCAGTGTGGTGTATTGTGCACACGGGGCTTATATACGCTCTAAAACCCGACTCACCCCGAGGTCCTTGTTCGAATCAAGTTACTGCTCTGGCTCGGGTAGCGATGCTTTTTTTCTCAGTTCGCACAATTCTCCTGCCCTTCATTGAGTTAAAAACAAGGTAAATAAAGCAGTATGGTGTATCGTGCACACGGGTTCAACTTGTCTGTTGAATTTATCATTAGGCCCGAGGTCCTTGTTCGAACCAAGGTACTGCTGTAGTTTCAAATTCTGTTGTTACTTTTTTGCTCCGCTCACACAATCCCCCACCCTTCATCGAGCTCGGAACGAGAAAAATCAAGCAGTGTGGTGTATTGCGCACACGGCGCTCGGATAATATGCTCATAATTGTCACCCCTAGGTCCTTGTTCGAATCAAGATACTGCTCTGCCAAGGTCGGCCTTTCTTTTTCTCTCGGGGTTCAGGATCCTCACAACTTCATCGAGCTCGGAACAGGGTAAATAAAGCAGTATGGTGTATTGTGCACACGGGGCTTGTATAGCAAATTAGTGATTGTGTCACCCCGGGGTCCTTGTTCGAACCCAAGGTACTGCTGTAGTCTCGGACTCTGTGGTTACTTTTTCGCTCCGCTCACAGAATCCCCACCCTTCATCGAGCTCGGAACGAGAAAAATTAAGCAGTGTGGTGTATCGTGCACACGGGGCTTGCATTATGTGTCACCCCGAGGTCCTTGTTCAACTGAAAGTGCTGCTCTAGGGTCAAGTTTGATCGCTGCGGGTTCGCGCGAATCTCTCACAACTTCATCGAGCTCGGAACAGGGTAAATAAAGCAGTATGGTGTATTTCGCATACGGGGTTCACATAACGGTCATATCTTGTTCACCCCGAGGTCCTTGTTCGAATCAGGGTACTGCTCTAGTCATGGAAGTCAATGGTTTTCTGTTTCTGGCTCGCACAATTCTCACCCTTCATCGCGTTCAAAGCAAGGCAAATACAGCAGTATGGTGTATTGCGCACACGGGTACGCACGCTCCTCTCAGATGAATTAACCCCGAGGTCCTTGTTCGAACCAAGGTGCTGCTCTACCGATCGATGATTCTTTTGTTCGCCGTTCACACAATTCTCTCAGCCGTGATTGAGCCAAAACAGGGTAAATCAAGCAGTATGGTGTATTGCGCACATGAGGTTCACATGCGCACGAATGAACACCGTCACCCCGAGGTCCTTGTTCGAACCAAGAATTACTGCTCTGCCATGGTCGGCCTTTCCTTTTCTCTTGGGGTTCAGGATTCTCACAACTTCATTGAGCTCGGAACAGGGTAAATAAAGCAGTATGGTGTATTGCGCACACGGGGCTTGTATAGCAAATTAGTGATTGTGTCACCCCGGGGTCCTTGTTCGAACCCAAGGTACTGCTCTAATACATACCATTATTGGCCACTTTTTCGCTCCGCTCGCACAATTCTCCCACCCTTCATCGAGCTCAAAACAGGGTAAATGAAGTAGTGTGGTGTGTTGTGCACACGGGGTTGGTATAGCAAAAAAATGATTGTTGTCACCCCGAGGTCCTTGTTTACATTGTTTACATTGGAGTATCACGCCTATTTCAATATTACATGACTGAGGTGGCCCGGGCCACCACGGCGGATCACTAAGAATATAACTAATGGAAACGTCCGAAACCATCCGGCTTGGAGTTACTTACTTTGCAACTGTAAGTTCTTGGTCAAAATCAACTCATTCCTGCTTTGTTCTGGCTCGTCTATCCGCACACTGAATCCACTCGTATAAACTCACGTGGCTGTACACAACAGGACGAAATCTATAATCATCGACGCCAGAAGCTGCCACAAATTTTCCATCCTGCCTTCCTATAGGTACCCGCTCTTCTGCTTCGTCGTCGTCGTCTTCAAATTTAACGATTGCTTCGGCCTGCTGCGTCCAGAACATACATACGAACATAATATACGACCGCCAAGGGAATATTTCGTAAGTATGACTTGGATAATGATCAGGATGCCCCAAGACGTACATCGACGCCATAGGGCTACCGATTTCAATCTTGGCAGACATGGAGTTTACCATCTTCCGCATCATGTGCCTTGCTTGCTCTCTTTCTTTTATATCCCCTCCAATCGTATCGGCTTCTTTGTCGAACACATGATATACGGAGGCAAACATTTGGTACAATTTCAGACTCAACTTTGAAATGTAGTCCGAGACATAAGAGACGACCGCTTTTACGGCAGTGCCCGACAGCAGACTAGTAACATCTGTGTTGCAACGAGACACGTAGGTGAGCAACGGATTGACCGTGTTCATCATCGGTTCCATGTGACGCATGTTGACGTGTCCGTTTTCATCCACTCCAGATACCGTAAATACATCTCTCGGAAATCTGGCTCAACATATTCCAGTTTTAGTGAGACATCCGTTTCTCTCATGGATCATTTTGCTAGGTAGTTTGAGTTTCCGTTTGACTTTTTTATGCTTATCTCCTTTCCAATTTTTCTTAGCCTCTTTCCGTTCTTCATCAACCACCGAATGATGATGGTCGTGTACGTTAGAGCGTACTAATAGGTCATTGACCTCCTTTTTATACCTTGAGGTCCATCTTGCTAACCGGACACAAGCTGTACAAGTTTTCTTGCATTCCACGTCTGTACACATTGGAGGAGGTCCGGCAGCAAAAGTATGTGTGGGCGACTGGTATTCAGAATGAATCACCGTAGGTTTGCTGTCGGAGCCAAGGTCCGACTGAGGTGCCTTTACTTTTTCCTTCCGCTCAATGGCACTGGCCATTGTTCCGTTAAACAATTCGGCTTGGTGGCAACTCTCTAGATAACGAATGAGACGTCTACGGAAGTGCGACGTAGGTCCCATAACCTTGTCTCGGATTTCTTGAGGTGACATAGCATTAGCAACCCATAGTAGAAGGTGCAAATGCAAGGTCAAGTGCCCCTGTTGCTCCACCGTTCCATAGAACGCGTTTGGGTGCCCGAACAAGCCACGTTCTTCGCTCTGCCAACCCAGTACATCAGTAATAAATGTGTTCACCATGTAATTGAAAAAGCGAGCAGCCGCGACGGGATTAGAGGACATCAACAGTTTCCTCTCGTCTGCAGTTCGAATCTCCGGACGGTAAACGGTGTCCGTTTGTGCGTAATAAAGCAATAAAGGATGATGCAAATCTGACCAAGAAATAGTCGAGAACCAGGTCGGTGTGTTCAAAAATGTTATGGTGGACCATATCTTGTTTCTCATATATTTTTTAGAAGTTACAGAGCCTTTCACATGTCCAGCTATGGCGTCGAGATCACAGATGAGATCAAAACATCTCTGTTCTGCGTCCGATGCTGGTTTTACATGATCACCTTTCACCAGTCTATTTGCTATGTCCTCTGCAACCAAGGGATTAACAGCGAGGAGACATCTAGCAATGGACTGGAAAGTACCTCGTTTGGCAAGGAGTTTACTACCCGTAGCAGAGACCTTTAACTGCTCATGATTGAACGATATCATTGGGAAGTAAGTATCCATCTGGAACCGTTTGTCGTAGTACATTAAAAGGCTTTTTTTACGAGCCAAATCCGCCTGTTTGTGGTTGTGGGAAGGGTGTCCAAGGGTGTCCATTACCGCCTTTTCCGTAGGGGAAAAGCCAAGGAAACATTCCAGGATAACTTGTGACGTTGTTGTACATGCTTTCGGGCTCCTCTGCTCTGCCGACTCCGAGAATTCTCCCATCTTGCATTAGATGGTTCAGTGCAACTCCTTTGATAGTCGTCATCGAGGCGGAATTGTACTCTTCTCCTGTAAGACCAAGAACGGCAAATGAACATTTCCCTGACTTCGTTCCTTCTTCATTTATTATATCATTCACCGCCACGGACCCCAGGGGAAGAGAGTCGGACGGCGATTGTCCGGATTTGCGATAATCAACAACAACTGGTATGCCTCTCTCTGGATAACTCATCAAGTTTTCCATCGATATTTCCAGGTCTCGATAACCTTCATGATTCAACTTTAGCCATTCCAGAGCATCAAGTACTTTTCTTCTTCTCACTAACATTGGAGTGCGGTCGAAGTCCTCTGGAGTAGGAGCTGAGGAACCGATGAATACAAAGCCCAAAACTTCATTCAGTTCACCACGGCTAGGAGGCAATTTATTGTATACGGTCAATACTGGTTATGCAAACATAATAGCATTTGCACTCATCCTCACCCGTCCCGACTGGACGCGAACAACACACTAGTTGTGCCTGACTCTCGCTATCAGCATGCCCTCTGTGTACTTAAGATTTTGGAGTTGTTCGGGGACAGTTCCGACCCAATTGTGGCGTGCCAACGCAAAGCGAGGTATCACATTATTCATCAGGCCAGTCTCGAAATCCACGCATATACGGGTACAGGCCGCCGCGAGGACAGGACCTTCTATATCTTCGATGGGGTCTTCAACACTAAATCGCTCTTTTTTAGTCACACCAGGCACAATCAGAAGCCCCAGATCGCCCTGAAAAGCAGAGAGAGGTGTGAGCGACTTCCTAGGCACCAGCCATCCGCATACTGCGCAGCCATGCTCTACAAAATTACGAGGACTTACAGTCTCGCAATGCCGTCGCAGAATGGCATGATTTTCCTTGTTAGTCAAGGGCATCGGTGGAAATGTGGTGTGCTTTAATCGACCAGTAAGTTTTTTCCGGTTCATTTTCAATTTACTAACTATGTCTCTCATGGCCAATGCATCTGCCAATTTTCTGGCAGCGGACCTTACTATTACTTTCCGTTTTCTCCCAGGGCGCCTTATCATTTTATCATGAGCAACTGGTGCGCTGGCTTCGTCTCCACTCACATTAGAAAAGATGCTGACCACATTGGGACATTCAGAACACTTGTGGTCGTCGAACAAAGCCCGGGAAAGCGCGGAAGACAGGCGCGTAGGAACCCAAACACCATGCGACCTGCCGACTTGAATTAGTTCCTGTTTAGTAAGCTGGGAAACGAAGTCATTCAAAGGTATATTACTCGCTAAGCAGTTCCCGTGTCTTGCAAGTACGGTTTTTACTATGTCTAGTTTGCACTGAAACTCGAAAGAATATTCCTTGTATTGCCAATTGACTATGCCGTTATGATCGACAATATTTCTCTCTAGACGCTTGGCGTGGAACAGGTTACGCACACCTCCGCCATGGGCAGGCTGATAACCAGGTAGACAAGTATGTTCTCCACGGATATTGTATGATCCGCGACAAGAAGTAGATAAGGCATATGCCCAGGCATTGACAGCCGAAAAGCACAGGTATGTTAATGACCAGGCGACCGCATGATGCATATTGAATAGGATGAAAATCATCCGCCATACACAGACAGTTTTAGAGAGTGGGGAGACTGAAGCAGTCGCCCACCCGCAAGTGCAGATGCAATACATCCACGCCACGACCGGCAGGACAACTGCGGAGGTAAGTAATGATCAAACAACAAAAGCAAGATGCTCACTCCAGTTGTGAAGCATATAATTGAAGGGGAGCATGTTGATGGGTTTGGCAGGGTAGAGAAGTGGGCGCCCTTGTAAAGAGTAGGGCAGTATTTATAGGGAATGATCATCAAAGATCGTTGCCACGTGGCAATGACGCAGTGGCAGTGCCAATGCGCAAATGATCGGAAGCACCTCTTGCCCTCTCTTCCATCGTCTCATTGTTCTCGCTGTACATATCGGGCATGCCCACAAGGGCGGGCTCATAGCTGAGGCTCCAACCACTGCAGAAACCCCAGTTACTGAATTTGGGCCCCTATGTCTCTGCCAATCATGGACCCCAACTCCGAGGTTGTTCAAAGATTTTGGAAGCGAGTGGCCGAAATTTCGGGCATGTCACACGATGCCCATAAAAAATGGGTGGGGAGAGACGAAGTCAAGAGCTG